AGGGCGGGAGAGGAAGGGGCTTGTGCTGAGGGGAGGGGGGAAGGTCAGGAGAAGAAAGGGGAAGGCACCAATGGACAGCGTGGAGGAGAGACAAATGCCAGGAGGCCAAGTGGAGACAATGAGGAAAAGGGCAGGAGGGGAGGTGTCAGTGGGAGGAGGCACAGGATGATACTGGGAGAGGAGAGGGTAAGGGCATTGGGGGCTAGAGAGGGAAAGGGAAGGTGCTGGGAGAAGGCTTGAAAAAAGGGGTGGGCATGAGAAAGGCGGGGATGGAGCAAATCATGCGTGAGGGCACAGGGGCATGAGGAGAACGGGGGCAGATGGTGGTGAGGGGATGGGCATCAGGGAAAAAGAGGGCAAAAGGGGCAGGGGCAGTGAGAGGCACCAGGAGAGTGCAGGGCTAAGGGAAGGTGCAGGTGTCAGGGGATTCTGGGGGTGAAGCAGAAGGGCAGACACCTGCAGGGGAAGGACGAGCATCAGAGGAGAGAGGCAGGGCATGCGTGTAGAAGGAGGCGTTAGGAGAGTGGGTAGCTCACATGATCAGAGTGGGGCTACTGGAGGAGTGGGCACAGGGGGGAGAGAAGGGCTGGTGGAGGTGGGCAGGTCTCAGGAGGGCTGAGGGCAGTGAGAAGGGCAGGAGTCAGGACAGCAGAGGAGGGTAAGAGGTTGGGGGGGCAGCAGGCACCGGGGAGCTGATGGAGCAAGGATAGGAAACATGGCAGCAGATGGTGGGGACATGGTGGGGATGGGGAAGTGGTGGGGGGGGGGGGTAGGGGAGAAGGGTGCTTTTTGTGCTCAACATTTGGACATCCCTCCCCTTTTTATTAATGCAGAATTTTGTTTAAAAATGAATTGCAATATAATTAAAATAAAAATTATCCAACTAAATTAAAGTGTCTACCAAATTTAACCAATTCACATTTAATATGAAAATAGCCTTCAATTTGCACATTTGACGGCTTTTTTATATTTTTTTTCTCCAAAGGGGGGGGGGAATAATTGCTGAATAATTTAATTAATACCTTTACATGTAAAATTACCTTTTTTATCTTATGGAGTCATATATTATGTAAAATTAAATATAATGTTTTTCATATTATTTAATGTACATCTACAAAATAAGTCTTGAAAAACTGTTGGCGCCCACCACACTCTTCTGAAAACATGAATGGGATATTGGCCACAAAAAGATTGGGGACCACTGGTGTAGAAGAACCATTTGTACTTGCTGAGAGCAGGTCAACTCTAGGACAGAGAACCATCCAGGAGCCATGCCTTCAGGTGTAGTAAGTGGAGGTTTGGATGGGCATCTTTGGAGCCCGGGTGAAGAAGGAGATCCATGATACAACCTAAGTGGATTGGTGGGGCACAGGACATCGCCGCTACGAAGGGAAACCATAGCTCTCGTGGCCATGTTGGTGCTATGAGATGAGCCCTGTCCCTCCTTATCTTGTGAACTACCCTGTTCAATAAGGGTACTGGAGGAAATGCGTAGAATATGTGATACTTGCCTAACCCTGCCCTGAAACAGAATAAGGAGCACTGACTGTTGGACTGCGTTGCAAACAGGTCTGTGGTAGAGTGACCCCATCGGTGGAAGATGTCCAACAATATGTGCAGGTTCATTTACCACTCGTGTTCAACCAGGAGGGCTCTGCTGAGTGCATCTGCCATTGTATTCAGGGCACCTGGAAGAGACACTGCAGTGATAACTGTGTTGTATTTCAGGCACCAGTTCCAAAGTTCTTTGAGGTCTGTGCAGAGTACAGAAGATCGGGCTATGCCCTGACAATTTATGTAAAACATTGCTGTGATATTGTCTGTGTACAGTCTAATGAGTCTGTGGGCGATAAAAGGGAGGAATTTGACGTATGCATTCCTGACTGCCCGCAGTTCTAGAACATTTAGGTGCAAGTTGGACCACAGGCCCTGACAGGTATGACAACATAGATGGGCATCCCATCCTCTATGAGATACATCTGTCGTCATGGAGACGGATGGTTCTGATAGGTGGAAGGTGACTCTGGAACACAGGTTCCAAGGGCTCGGCCACCAGTGTAAGGATTCCTTTACTATCCCTGGAAAAGCAAGGGATTTGAATACCAGATGGACATTGGGTTTGTACACCTGTCCCAGCCAGCTCTGTAAGCATCTCATGTGTAGACGAGCGTTGCCGACTATGGAACTGCATGCTGCCATATGCCCCAACAGCCGAAGGCATTCAAGTGCTGTTGTACAGGATCTGAATCGTAAGGTATTTATCAAGGCTACAATTTTTTGAAAACAGTCTGTAGATAGGCATGTGGTGGCCATTGTCAGGTTTGTAGGTAGGGATGCTCCTATCTTTTGTGTAGAATAGTGTGTCGATTTGGCTTCGTTCACCTGAAGACCCAGGTATCAGAATAGGTGTCTTGTGATTGACAGAAAATGGCAGGAATCATTGTGTGAGCACGACTTGAGGAGGCAGTCACCTAGGTAAGGAAATATGATAACACTTTGTTTCCTCAGGTACGCTGTGACAACTGCCAGCACCCTTGAGAAGGCCCTTGGGGCCGTAGAGAGAATGTCTGTCAACTTGAATGTCCTGGTAAATGCACTGCTAAGAGGATGACCTGGTGGCAAATACATTAATTCTGAAGATTGAAAGATTACAAAGAAGGTAGGACGTTGCTCCCCCTTGTTTGTCAATCCAGAACACTGTTCTAAGGTGGTCCAGCATGATTTGGACTTGCAGAGTTCGAATAAATAGTAGCTCCATAAGATTTGTGTTCAACTGGAATTGCTGGGGAGTCCATGTACTTTTTGTTAAATATTCATTCAGAGGGGCTTCTCACCCTATTAAGGAATATCATCTGGGATCAGTGTCTTTGTATGTGGAAGAGGATCAAAGAGTCTCCTCTCCTCCCCACATACAACCAACTTCATTTTCCTCCCACCATGAGAGACACTTGTCCTCAGAACAAAAGATGGGGAGTCAAAACTAATTTGACAAGCTAGTATTTGCCCAGCATATACCCTATCCATATCCAACTCTACAGACACAATGGCAAAATTTCGTGAAGGGTATCGTGTAAGTACATGAAGCCATGTGACCTAGAAGGATTAATCAGGTGTGAACTGACATCTATGGACTTAGCTGAAACTAACAGACAAGGTACATCTGAGCTGAGACCAGTAAGCTACGACACTGATAAATTCCAGTGTTCCCACAATAATATAGTTCCCATTTATAAAAAGGGAAATAAGAACAACCCAGGAAACTACAGACCAGTTAGTTCAACTTCTGTGCCAGGGAAGATAATGGAGCAAGTAATTAAGGAAATCTTCTGTAAGCACTTGGAAGGTGGCAAGATGATAGGGAACAGCCAGTATGGATTTGTAAAGAACAAATCATGTCAAAACAATCTGATTGCTTTCTTTGGTAGGATAACGAGTCTTGTGGATAAGGGAGAAGCGGTGAATGTGGTATACCTAGACTTTAATAAGGCGTTTGATACGGTCTCACATGATATTCTTATAAATAAACTAGGCAAATACAACTTAGATGGGGCTACTACAAGGTGGGTGCATAATTGGCTGGATAACCATACTCAGAGAGTAGTTATTAATGGTTCACAATCCTGCTGGAAAGGTATAACAAGTGGGGTTCTGCAGGGGTCTGTTTTGGGACCAGCTCTGTTCAATATTTTCATCAACAATTTAAATATTGGCACAGAAAGTATGCTTATTAAGTTTGCAGATGATACTAAGCTGGGAGGGGTTGCGACTGCTCTGGAGGATAGGGTCATAATTCAAAATGATCTGGACAAATTGGAGAAATGGTCTGAGGTAAACAGGATGAAGTTTAATAAAGACAAATGCAAAGTGCTCCACTTAGGAAGAAACAATCCGTTTCACACATAAAGAATGGGAAGCGACTGTCTAGGAAGGAGTACGGCAGAAAGCCATCTAGGGGTTATAGTGGACCACAAGCTGACTATGAGTCCGCAGTGTGATGCTGTTGCAAAAAAAGCAAACATGGTTCTGGGATGCATTAGCAGGTGTGTTGTGAGCAAGACATGAGAAGTCATTCTTCCACTCTACTCTGCGCTAGTTAGGCCTCAGTTGGAGTCTTGTGTCCAGTTCTGGCACCGCATTTCAAGAAAGATGTGGAGAAATTGGAAAGGTTCCAGAGAAGAGCAACAAGAATGATTAAAGGTCTAGAGAACATGACCTATGAAGGAAGGCTGAAAGAATTGGGTTTGTTTAGTTTAGAAAAGAAAAGATTGAGGGGGGACATGATAGCAGTTTTCAGGTATCTAAAAGGGTGTCATAAGGAGGAGGGAGAAAACTTGTTCATCTTGGCCTCTGAGGGTAGGACAAGAAGCAATGGGCTTAAACTGCAGCAAGGGAGGTTTAGGTTGGATATTAGGAAAAAGTTCCTAACTGTCAGGGTAGTCAAACACTGAAATAAATTTCCCAGGGAGGTTGTGGAATCTCCATCTGTGGAGATATTTAAGAGTAGGTTAGATAAATGTCTATCAGGGATGGTCTAGACAGCATTTGGTCCTGCCATGAGGCCAGGGGACTGGACTCGATGACCTCTTGAGGTCCCTTCCAGTCCTAGTATTCTATGATTCTATGAATAAAATGTAAAGTCTGTGGAAACTAAAATAGACTTGTGTTTAGCTGAAATCCCTATGAATGAAGAATATTGCTATCTGTACCTCCTGAACTAAGTATTGCATCATTTCTAGCATCCTATAAAACACAGGTTGATCCTGGCCACTAAAATGTGTTTATGGCATGTAATGTTTCCCTATTAAATTTTTCATATTTAGCGATGAAAAAATGGCATTTATTTCAATGAGAAACAATCCAGCATTAAGCCTGGCCTCTCAGATGCCACAGTATTCAGTGCCTCAGAAATTCCAGGAATAAACTGTTCATTTTGGTACTGCGTTCTCCAGTTTTCTTTAAAAACAAGAATTCTGGCACATTACACAATAATATACACTTACCATGTTACATGGAAAGCTTGTCGACATCCATGTTTGTTACATGTCATGCAAGCACCAGTTGCTGCTTTGCTTTCTCTGCCTTGTTCATCACAAATATAGCATGTCTATTAAAGAAAAGAAAAGTATTAACATATCATATAAAGTACCCAAAGTATTTTTGTGTTACTCAAAGGAAGCATTTTATATCGTGTGCTAGAAAGACCAACTGATTTTCTCAATCTTGTATTCAGGCTTACTTGAGGACTCCTTTACACAGCCTAATCACAATTTTCCAAAGCAGATTACTATATACACTGTTTAGGATTTGCACGGCACTTTACCTGTCCTAAGTACTGTACAAACATTAAATTAACCAAGTCTATACACTACCTCTATATTATCCTAATTCAGTATTATCCCAACTTTAACTACAGGGACTACTGAGGCACAGAAATTAAGCAACTTGTCTTAACAGATAATAGGCAAAGACTAACACATGATTAGAACTCAAGATTTTCTGAATATCCTATGCTTGTGTTCATTCAGGATGTTAACTCTTGGGTCTTTGTGTAAACATGTAAACCACTTGAAATTTTAGTGGTTACAAGGTTTACACATGGGAGGGCAGGTAGGAGCTAGTGTTCGCAGGAGAAGCCATCTTATAAGCCAGCTCCCCGCACGTGCCAGCTCCTGCATGTGCCCACCGCTGCCTTTGTGGAAGGCAGCAAGGAAGGCAGGTGGCTCCATGCACCTGACACACATGGAGAACTAGTTTAAAAACCGACTCCCTGCCCATGCCGGCTCCCGCCTGACCCATGCGCGCTGCTGCCACTGTGGGAGGCAGTGTGAAGCAGTGGGGACAAGCAGCTCCACAGGAGCCTGCACACGCCTGATACAGAGACAGTAAGGGGAGGGGAATGAAGGTAGGATTAACTATGTTGAAGTTTATCAGTAAATTGTGTGGTCGACTACCTTTTGACATCCCTAGTGATCATTCATTCAAATCATTCTCATATGTTTGCGTATATGTATAATTATTGGTAGCAGAATTGTGGTAGCACTTAGAAATTACAACCAGTATCAGTATCTAGGTACTGTCTATACATGTAGATAGCCTAATTCATGTCCAAAAGAGCTTCCTGTTTAAAGATAAAATGTAAAACACTTGTAATGCATTCTGACGTACTAGCAGTGCTTTTTTTGTGATGGTACTGCCCGGTACTCAGTACTGGCACCTTCTGACACAGTACCAGCACCTCTAGTCAGAGCTCAACAACTTTTCCCCTAGAGTACTGGCACTTTTTTTTTTTTTAAACCAAAAAAAGTGCTGCATACAAGTGGAAATAATTTTCGGAAAGTCTCACAAGTCTCCAAGACTACCTGGGAATCAGAGACCTTCGACCAAGTTTAATAAAGGTATTAAACACTGTTTTTATTTAAATATGAATCTAACAGCACAGCTTTACAACCACCTGGATAGAAACTAGTCTAGCTGGAACTGTATTTAAACTGAGTTTAATTCAGCATCCTAAACACATATCAAAAACCAACGAAATATTCAGATTTAAAGCAGATTTCTAAAAATGTCATTACAAAATCTCACCAAATGCACTGTAATTACAGAGACCCATAACAATGTATTGAATTTTGCAAATCAAGTGAATAATCAAAAAGAACAAAAATAATCCATCAAAATGTATTTCATTATTTGATAAGTGTATTTGCAATTGTAATTATAAATACTCACCTCGCACTGGGATGTTTCAGCATTGAAGGCACGTCCTCAGGGTGGCAGATTGAAGAAGCCCTCCATGGAGTGATCCCGAGGGGTTGCACCAAATAATATGGAATAAGGTGCTGGGGACCAACAGTACCTAGGAGAAGGGAAACTCTGACTCCAAACCAGGGCAGACTGAGCTCGCTAAGCCTTTTTAGGCGCATCAGAGAAGGTAACTCCAATCTCAAACCTGCGCTCTCTCTCCCTCCAGTGTACATGTCATAGTTTCTGTGCCTGTGCACAATTGTCGGAGTAAGAAGAGAGAGTGGGGTTGGAACTCACAAGCCTGCCTCACTTAAATCCAAGAGACCATGTCAATAATGTCAAGGGTGATTTGCAGTGCTGTATGGGCAGCTGTGTAGCCTTCCTGCACCACGGCTTTCAAGATTTGTCTCTTAGCGTCAGGCTAGTACTCCATGAGGGTGACAAGCTTGGAGTAATTGTCGAAATCATAATTGGCAAGTTGAGACACATAATTAGCCATCCTAAGCGTTGCCATGGGAGAAGAATAGACTTTTCTGCCCAACAAGTCCAGGAGTTCAGTGTATGGGCAGCTGTGTAGCCTTCCTGCACCACGGCTTTCAAGATTTGTCTCTTAGCGTCAGGCTAGTACTCCATGAGGGTGACAAGCTTGGAGTAATTGTCGAAATCATAATTGGCAAGTTGAGACACATAATTAGCCATCCTAAGCGTTGCCATGGGAGAAGAATAGACTTTTCTGCCCAACAAGTCCAGGAGTTCAGCAGTGCCATGTGCTGTCTTTGACCTTTGTTGTGCCGCATCCATAACTATGGAATTTGGCTGAGGAGGCGTAAATAAGAATTCTGTGTCTTTAGTGGCAACAAAATATTTCTTGTCTGCATGCTTATTGGTAGGTAGCGCAGAAGCTGGAGTTTGCCAGATATCATTGACAATTTCCAGGATGGCTTCGTCGACAGGTAGAGCCAATTTAAATTTCTAGGACTGCTGTAAATTTTTCAGGAGACGGTGTTGCTTCTGTGGCTTATCTGTTGTGTGTAGTTCCTGAGATTGGGCTACCCTTTTCAACAGCTCCTGGAACTGCTTCTAATCGTCTGCAGGAAAAGAGTCGCCCTGAAAAATTGCATTGTCCAGTGAGAAGGACAATTGATCTCTGGGGGAGTACATGTGCTGTTGCTCTCGAGTAGGGACTGTCATCCCCCTCATGGTGGCTAGAAGTATAGGGTGCAGCACCCGTGGGTGTCGGAGGAGCTTGTTGAGGAAGCGGAATGCTCCAAGCCAAATGGTATGGTGATTGGGATTGAGCTGGTCTGGGTGATCTGGATGGTGAGTGCACTGTACTACACGAGACTAGACATTCACGGTAGTAATAAGTGTAACACTGGATACGATGGTGATAATCGTCAGGGGAATGCCTTGGAGAATAGGAGCCTGCTCTCCTGTAGTAGTGAGAATACCGTAAGGGAGTTGGAGACACCAGTGACCCGGATTGCACTGTGTAGTACGAGGGTGAACGAGAGCGATAGGACCTGTAATGACGTGGAGGGGCGCGGGACCAACGTGGGGATGTGAAATGTCCTCGTGGAGGTGAGATGTAGTGAGTATGGCAGTGATTTCCTGAGCTATGGGGAGGTGGAGGAGAAGGCTCTGGAGAAAAAACAGCCATCTCAGGCTGGGCGTTGGTGTGCGCACGTGACTTGTTTTCCGTTGTGCCTTAGTTGGTACTGTGGAGGCATGCGAAGAAGGCGGAGCTGTGACTACGGGGCTATTAGGTGCGGAGTCAAAGGATCTCGGTTCCAACCCCTGTCGGCATCAAGGTGGAGTTAGCGGTGCCGGTGTGGGTAATGCCACCGCTGGTAGTAAAGCTGGACCTGGTGCAGACGAGGCCGGTGCCGATGGAGAAAGAGGCGGTGCCATCCGCTTCAGTGCCGGGGTCTCCAATCTTGGAGTGGCACGTGGTTGAGTCGGTGGTCGCCACTGCAGATTCAGGTCGTGGTGCCTTGCATGCTGCCAGCACCAGCATAGATGTAATAGTGAGACTCGGCGCGGAGGTACTACGGCCTTTAGATGCCTTGACTGCCGCATGCTTGGGCATCAACCCAGACATGCTTCAGTGCGTCTCCTGCACTAACACTCCTGGCGGGAGCAGAGCTCTTCTTGTCATGTGACTTACGCGCCACAGCAGTTTCATCCGTTGACCGGTCTGCTGACGCCGGCTGTAATGCCTTGTTAAACAACAGCATTTTTAGCTGCATTTCCCTGTCCCGCCTTGCGCGGGCCTTTAGTTTTAAACAATGTGCACACTTTTGGGGGATGTGGCCTTCCCCCAAGCACTTTATACAACAGGAATGGCCATCCGATGCCAGCATGGCGTCCCAACATGAGGCACACTTTTTAAACACAGGGGATCTGGGCATGATGCCAGCAAAGTCTGGTACAGACTCTATGAAGTTAGTCATGAGACTGAAGAACTTTTTTTTTTTTTTTTAAACTGGAACGAAGTGAACTAACTAAACTATAAGGACGGGGGCAAACTGGGACAACAAACAAACTTTCTACTCTCTAACAGCTTTTCTATTTTTCTCCTCAGGACGGAGGAAGGAGCTCATCCCAACTCCATCTGCAGCCGTGGATGGTTAGGAGGAACTGGCAGGCCAGACTGTGCGTTGCAGAAAGGGCGAGAACGGCACAAGATGGTGTCTCTGCATGCGCGCTCCGGGGGGTGGGGGTGCTAATGAAAACTCTCCAGACTGGGACGAGCCCAACACCTTTAGTGGAGCACTCATGGGGACACTACTCAACGAAGAACGGATAGTGCTAAAATCTTTGACCGCTGGGCTGAACATTTCCACAAAGTATTGAATAAGACCTTGACTTTTGACAGCAGCCTTCTTGAAGAGTTTTTAAACATTTCCACAAAGTGTTGAACCACACCTCAACTTTTGACAGCAGCGTTCTTGAAGAGATTCCTCAGTGGGCTAATGATTTACAACTGGATATACCACAATGATGCAATTCCATTAGAAATTTATAAAGCTCCTGGTGGCCAGCTGATGTACCATCTCACCCATTTACTTAGCACCATTTAGGAAAAGGAGCTAGTCCCCCAGGACTTCAAAGATGCCTTGATTGTACATATATATAAGAGGAAAGGTAACCATGCATCTTGTGATGACCATCGGGGCATCTCTCTGCTCTCTATAGCTGGTAAGATCCTGGCCTGCATCCTTTACAATCAATTCTCACTACATGTGTTTAAAAATGGTATTATCCCTGAAAGCGGATTTCGTCCCGGTTGAGACACTGCTGATATGATATTTACAGCAGAAAGATATAAGAGAAATGTAGAAAGCAACATCAGGACCTCTA